CGACTGAGCCACCCAGGCACCCCTGGGTGTTCGATTCTTGACTAGTGGTGATAGACTATATGAGTGTACATTTGAAGAAACAAGGTTTACGGCTGTGTAAAATGATTACCAAACAGTGCTGTTGCCCACATAGTCCAGTGTGCCTTGCCCCACTCCACCCCCATGTTTGTTTAGGTACTTACTTCTTCTGCAGATATTTATTAAACATCGTTCTACTGACCCTGAAAGTTACAAAAGAGCCCAGGAATCTGTGACAGTCTCTGCAGATAACTCTTAAATCACAGTAAGGTGATTATGACATAAATTCACAGAGCCCTAGAAACTCCTTAGAGCTGCTAAAGAGAAAAAGCCAGGAGTGGGGGTCATGGCCTGAGCATTGATTCCTGGGCTCTGCCTTCAGCAATTTGTTTTACCAGGTCTGGGATGGAGCTGTGGGATATTCTCATGCACAATCGAAACATGGACCACACTTTGAGAGACATCGTCTTGAGGATTGCATATCATGTTTGTGGACTTGCCCAAGACATTTTATTCTTTCAGTCAAATTATTATGGAGAAAACTTTTCAGAAAATTGTTTGTCCAAAGAAGAGTTTGTGAACATGATTGGCTTATTCTTTAAAAAAAAATTTTAAGTTCTAGAAAAATAGCAAATGTATTATTTATAGTAATTAATAGCAAGCACCAAACAAGACTGTATGCCTGTTCTGCTTCCCAGTTTCCAGCTGCCCTTATCTTCCAGCTCCTCTGTTCTCTGAGAATACCACAGCCAAAGTGACTGACCTGGCCTGGTTATCCTGATAATCTCATCATCTAGCTATCATCTTTAACCCAGTATCCCTTTTAAACCTTGATAGCCTCTCTTAAACTGGGAAGACTGAAAATCAGTGATAGCCCAAAGACATCTAGTTCACATAGGCAATGTCTTATCAGAATATAAGCACACACCAATCTCTGCTTTTTAAAAAACATTCTCCTGGCACCTGAGTGGCTCAGTTAAGTTTCTGATTCTTGGTTTTGGCTTGGCCTGTGATCTCAGGGTTTTGGGATCAGGCCCCATGCCAGGCTTATACACTGGGCATGGAGTCTGCTTGGGATTCTCTCACCCTCACCCTCTCCGTCTGACCCTCCCCCTGCCAAAAAAGGCATTATCTCATAGCCCCCCTCCCAAAGGCATGCAGGTGTTCATTAAAAGCATGTAACTATGGCCTGTTCACATGGAAACTACTATATAGAACTGCTGTAGCTAAAAGACAACATCAAGGGCACCCAGGTGGCTCAGTAGTTAAGCATCTGCCTTCGGCTCAGGTCATGGTCCCAGGGTCCTGGGATCGAGTCCCACATCAGGCTCCCTGCTCGGCAGGAAGCCTGCTTCTCCCTTTCCCACTCTCTCTGCTTGTGTTCCCTCTCTCGCTGTGTCTCTCTCTGTCAAATAAATAAATAAAATCTTTTAAATAAATAAATAAAAGACAACATCTAAATTTAATAGATTTGTAATTACAGAGACTTGTGATCTTTGTTTGCTATATTAATTTTTGAGTTCATAGAATCCACATCAGCAAGGCATTATCTTGGACTGGCCCCTGGGACATGGAAATAGCTTTGTTTTTACAGAGCTGAATAACGAGCTCTTATTTTTCTCATGGAATTCTATACGTATATAACAGTACTTCATAAATATGCTATTTTAGTAATATAGCTTGCATGACATCATCACATTTCCTAGGATGATCTTTTCTCACAGGTAGAAAATGTTAGAATCCTGACAATGATTTTTACAGTTTATTCTGTACGGGAAAATAGACCATAGGACATATAATGGAATACTGTAAGGACTTTGTAATTATAAATGCCAGGCTATGTAGTATGCACACTGGGTTGTGGAATAGAAGTGAGAGTCTCATCACATGAGCTTGGCCTTGCAGAGACCAGGCATTGCATGTGTATCATCTGCAGGCAGCTCTGTGCCTCCTAGTGATGCTCTCGTGACTGTGGTTCAGACTGTATAATAAATAGCTCTGGGTTCCTTCTTTTCTTCCTTTTTTCCTCCCTTCCTTCCTCCCATCCTTTCTCCCATCCTTTCTTCCACAATGCCCTTCTCTGCAAAAAAAAAAAAAAAAAGCACAGCAATCTTTGAGCATCCCTCTTTTTGACATTTTAAAATGATACAAACATGGTGATGGTGAAGACGTAGTTTTGGATTGTACATTCAGGTACAGTTATATCCCCTGGGTAAAACTATTTTCAGATTTTAGGACCTATGTTATTTACTTTGAGTATTATATATTGATCTCAGAATTCTAAGCTTGTTTTTAAAGCATTACTGTACTAACTTTATACTTTATTTCCCCCATCCTCAGATTTATTAAAGATGGTTTTATTTTTAAATTTAGTTGTTTTTCTCTCATTGTAAATTATGTCCAAACTTAATTTTGAGCCCAGGGTTTGGTGGAAAGGTGTGAATAAAAATTGAATTAGTTACCAGTTTTGTATTTGCCCCTCTCCTCCACCTTTTTTGGCAGTGTCGAGATGTAAGAACCAGAGAGGTTGGAATCCAGGAAATTCATCACAAAGTACGGCCATACCAGGTTAGTTTCTTCATTTTATAGAGAGTTTGGGTCCTGTTCATAAATTTTTGGCAAGGCTGGACCCACACTTTCTAACCAACAGGACTGATCCCTAGAAGTTAATAAGTAAACTAAGCAAAGTGTAATTGACGATCAGATATGGATGTCAAGACAGGAAAGGCAAATATGAGGGTGGGTGAATCGTAGAAGAGCCAGGCTAGGAAAACCAAGTCTGAGCTTCATTCTGGATCAGCACAATCCACCAGAATTTTCTGCAGGGTTGGAAATGTTCTATAATCTGCGCCATCCAATATGGTATCAGCCACCGGTCACAAGTGACATAGTGGTTACCTTCAGGTAGAGCTGGATGTGATGTTTATTTCTGCATGTACAACTATTAAATTCTACACCATTGGTGGTAGTCAAATCAATAGATGGGCCCTTATCAACAGGGGTTCCACAAAACTTAAGCGTAATGCCCAAAAGTATTTATTGTTTGTACAGAGAGCTAACTTCTCTCCTATATACCTATAATGCCTAGCTATGTGCCACATTTCCTGTGGGAGTTAACTCTCTTGTGGAACCCCATTTGAGAAAGACTAGATGACACCTGCATTGATATTTTTAACATTTGGGACCTTTTGAGGAAAAAAGTAGACCCAAACACAGTTAATAGTTTTTCCAAATTCATTTGCAATCCAGTTAGTTAGCAAACATTAAGTTTGAGAAGAAACATAAGCATTAGTCTGAATTGTTCACCTCACTACTCGTACCATCTGCCTATTTTTGGAATGTGTCTGGGTGTGACCATATGTAGGTTTCTCTGTGCATACTGTTACATATTGCTTATATAGATGCAAAATTCAAGGGCCACTTGAACAATGAGTGAGTCAAAAGCCTATGTAGATTGCTACCACAAGAGCTTCCCCCAAAAGCTACTTTCCAGTGCTTGATTTTCTTTGATGTTTTAATTTTGTAACTAAGTAGGCAGAATATTTTAAAGGGCTCATCCCTGTAAAGGGATGCCATACTTTCTTAAAATCCCATCAAGAAACAAGTGATCAATAACACATTTTTTTCCCCCAAAAGCAGGTTTTAATGGAAGAGGTAAAGGCCAGGAAATGAAACTGTTGAGCCACCTGACTGTTCTGGGGCTCAGTGGTGCTCGCAAGAGCTACACATGTGATATAATGTGTAATTTTACCTTAGAGACTCTTTGTGGAGGATCAAAGATTTAAGTACATAGAAGCATTTACTAAGCCAGATCTCTGCAAGAATCTCAAGGTTAATGAAGTTCAAATATGTTTTCCTTTTATAATATTCCATGAACAAGGCATGAACTCTTATTTAATCATTGATATGTGAGAGTAGACAAGTAAAAAGAAACATAATTCATGATTATTCATTCTTTATCCTTAATTGGGTATATTAGCCTAAATAAATACTTGTAACAGTGAATTTTGTTCTCTAATTTAAAAACATTTTTAATTTTTATTAAACAGATTGAATTGGTAAGGAGAGATTATGTTGCAAATGGTGGCTGGGAAACATTCTTATCATATGAAGACCCAGATCAAGACATATTGATTGGCCTCCTGCGATTACGAAAGTGTTCAGAGGAAACCTTCCGTTTTGAATTGGTTGGAGGTGTTTCCATAGTTCGAGAGCTGCATGTGTATGGAAGTGTAGTTCCTGTGAGCAGTCGAGATCCTACTAAATTTCAGCATCAGGTATGCTGTATTCCATTTCTGTTTGACTGTAATTAAGAAATTGCCCAGGGGTGCCTGGGTGGCTCAGTCAGTTAAGCATCTGACTTGATTTCAGCTCAGGTCATGATCTCAGGGTCATGAGAACGAGCCCCGCATTGGGCTCTGTGCTGATCTTGGAGCCTGCTTGAGATTCTCGCTCTCCCTCTGCCCCTCCTCCCCCCCCAGCCCTCCCTACGCTGTTCACTCTCACAGGCACGTGCACTCTCTCTCTCTCAAAAATAGATTCATAAGGAAGGAATGAAGGAAGGAGAAAGAAATTGCCCAAAGGAGGAAAAGTGAAAAAGAATGGGTGGAGGGAGGGGGCAGAGGAAGAGACAGTGAAAGAGGAAGGAGGAAGGGGGAAAGGCAAGTACAGAAACCGAGGAGCTAATATTTTATGTTCAGGGATATTTTCTCTCCCAAGTTGTAACCTTTTGGGTGTGAGAGGGGAGGAGTGAGAGACAAATTTGAGACTCAGTCAAGTAGAATATAGTATTAGATTGAACCATATGAAATTGCTATTTTTGAAAGTCAGAAATGGTGTAATACCAGCAATTTCTTATGATTCAACTATGTATTATGAAATCAAAGCCAATGATAATGTAAAAGCACTTGTGAAATATTAAAGTTCTTCATAGATGCAAGCTAAATCTGATATATAGTGGAATGCTATTCCACTCCCCACAAACAAATAAATAACTCACTTTTTCAAGTTTCCAGAAAATGGCTTAAATCACTAATGGTGGATATAGCGTAAATCTCTAACTTGGTGATTTAGGAATATTGCCTGGTTTCAAAAACCTTTTAGAAATTGGAGGGGTGACTAATAGATACAAGATTAGATACCCCAGACTTAATCACCTGGAGATTGCCTAGAGCTTATTTAAAAAGAGACGGAAGTTGAGAGACAATTGCCCCCTTCCTATGATGAGGTTACATCATCTACAGAATACCTTTTGATGGCTTTTGTTGCAAAATTATTGCCTAGTCTGCTACAGTGTATTTTTGGTATAATTGAATGGTTTCTCTTTTCTTATCCCCATAATTTTTTTTTGTCACTCTTATTTAGCAGATTTTAGCAACTACTGAATATTAGCCTTTTTGTTTTACAGATCCTTCTTAATGACTTCCTTCCTTCCTTAATTCCCTGACCCCTCTTTTGCTCTTTCCAGGGATTTGGCATGCTGCTGATGGAGGAGGCAGAAAGAATAGCTAGAGAAGAACACGGATCTGGGAAAATAGCTGTGATATCAGGTAACTAGGGGAAGACAGAGTTTATGATTCATTCACATTTTTAACTTGGTATCACAATTAAAACGATCTCAGGCCTCTCTTGCCCCTATTTATGATTATTCACAATTGGGCAGCATATAATAGTGAAAGACTTGTGGTCAAACACAGAATTCCTACGAGCAGTTTTGGTGGCGTAGTTTCAGAAGCACTCCATCTCTGAGTGGCAAGACCAATAATCTGGATCCTGTCTTCCTTGCTGTCTGTCACACCAGTCATCTGTCTATCCCACTAGTTGTCATGGTCATTTCTTCTCTTGCGCTTTGTGCCCAGTTACTCTGTCTGGGAAAATGAAATTTGGTGATAAGGATCCAAGAAAAAGTAAACCAATATGGCCATTACCAATATCGTTGTTCAGAAACTTAAAATGGAACCTCAGGTGCCAGTACAAGTTGTTTAAAGGTAGAGTTCTTTGCTCCTTAAATACTGCCCTCAGTAACTTTGCTTCTGGGAAACCGCTTTCCCCTATTCGGAAGTTTCCCCATACTTTGTCTAGGACATCAGATAATTGGGGAAGTGGGCACGAAAAGGAAATTCTGGTATGAATGGAGCAAAAATAACATATATACCGTTTCATTCCTACACTTTAGGACTATGTCCTTACAAAAATTGCTGTTCCCAATAAGAAGCTAACATGGGAAAGCCATGATCAGAATATAGGTTGTTTTTCCTCCAGCATTTGTTCTCCCATTAGAAAACATTCTCTCTTAAAGGCCGATTATTTTCTTTTAAGATCTTTTAAATAATCTTTTCTAAAAATGAAAGTTGAAATGCGTTTTTTTTTTAAATCAATAAGTTGTTGCTAATCAATAAATCAATACCCTTGCCTAGGTATTAACAATTATAATTACAAAAATGTGATGACCCAGGCTCACTTAATCATTTAGTCTGGCTATGGTTTTTGGCATTATCCAGACAGATTAGTAAAACATTTCTTAACATGGCTAGCTTTATATATTTTCGTCTGTTATCTTTAATTTCACTAAAGAAGAGGGAACTAAATGAGGCTCACCTGATTGATACTGATATTTGTAATAAAAAATGTTTACCTCTCAACTGTTTAACCTGTGGTTGTTCAGAAGTCAACCTTTCCTGGTACCAGGAGAGGGCCAGCCTGACTCAGGACTCCTTCCACACACATCTGTGGAGGGTTGAAAGCACCTGAAATTTCAGTGGTCCCTTTTGCTAGAGCACTCTCAGTGTTTTAGCACAATACTTCTCAAGCTTTAAATACGCTTGTGCTTCACCTGGAGATCTTGTTGGAATGCAGATTCTGATTCAGTCTGGGATGGGGCTTGAGAGTCTGCATTTCTAACCAGCTCTCAGTGATACCTATGCCAATCGTCTCTTCAGACCACACTTTGAGTATCAGCAAGGTTTTCATATTCTCTTTGAAATCATTAAGGTCAGGATACTCTCAGTGGCCCTGGCGGTGCCTGCCCTCCCACAGTCGGCTATGCAATCACATGGTTTTCTGGTATCTGTAGGAACATCATCAATTTTAAAACTAAAGAGCATTGGTATTCTATCACTTCTCCACATTATTTCATTAGCCTTCATAATATATATCTCATTTTAGAAGTGTTACATGCACAGAGGGCCCCTGACTTGCCTGAGGTTCTATTCAGTTACCCGTAAGAGCCTCAGTTTCTGTTTTTTATGAGCAGGGTGTCTTTCTAAGTAGAAATCAGCATCTGTCCTCTTCCTGGCTTTTTATCATAATCTGAATAATAGCTCAATTTCAGATCATCTGCCTGTAGAATTTTTAAAATAATAAGAGACTTACTGAAAATAGCAGGGAAGAACCTTTCTCCTTATCAGCAGTCTACAATAGGACCACTAGATTTCTGTATAGGGAGTTTCTTTTGGCCAGTGGGTTTCTGTAGGAGCAGTCCTGGATTGTCTTTTTGAACCAAAGTGAGTTCTTCTGTCACTCTAGTCTGTAAGCTGGACCATTGCTTTCTATTGAGGAAAGCACATAGGGCCTTGACTTTCTCTTTGATTCAACATCTGATCATCTTTCAAACGAAAAAGCCAAGAACATTTGCTCTTTGTATGATGCATTTTATTTCTCTAATTTAGAAATATATTATTGTTCCAGTTAAGTTTCTGAATCAGACACCTGAGATGTCCATTATTCAGAACTTTGAGTAGTGCAGATTTAATATATTATTATCACATGTCTTTAATGTTGCTTTTATCCTTCCATGTTTGTTCATTTTTTACTTTGGTCTTTCTGCTTTGAGTACAATGGGTGTGTGTGTGTATGTATGTGTTTTAATTCATTTTTGCAAAAAGTCAAACAGCTTTTCTCCATAAATTGATCCTTGGAATGAAAAACTCTGTGATCACAGTGGTGTTTGTGTACTACACTTATTCACAGTGCGTCATTAGATGTGCTGTATAGGAGACACGTGGCGGGGGGGGATTGGATTCCATTCCTGTGTTGACAGTAGCACTCCTTGTGATCTTGGATAATTTCACTTGATCTCCATTGACCTTTCTTTCCTTACTAAAAACAAGAGAGGTAGGTTAACCATCTTTTACAGTTCTAGAGTCTAGAACTCTCCCCCTCAGTATCTTCATCTCTTTTAGTGCTCAGAGTAACCAGTTATGTTTTACTGATTACATCTTAAGTAGATTCTTTTCTGAAACCATGTTAGGAAGCCCTTCAATTTCATTAGTAATTGAGTTCTGTCTCCTTGTACATTGGGTATTTGATGATTAAAATTATACAGGTTCCCATAGGTAGATTATCCTATCCATGATTTGTGGATGGATGCATATTGACTTCAGTCACAATTTGGTGATATTTTGTGACCGTCCTGTGTTTTTTTCTGACCTTGTCCTTGATTTGTAAATCCATCCTTGTTCTGGTCTGTAGGCTTTTGTACACAGTAGTGGCCTAGATATTCTATCCTGGCATAACTAGTAGCTTGAGCAAGGGAGAGACAGGTCATTTATCATTCTGGTTACTGTGACTGTAAGAGTAATGCACTTATGTAGAGTTTTTGTTTAATTACATTCTGATTCATTATGACTTCCCCTCAACTTGCCAGCAGATTTTCTGTTACTTGGATTTATAATCTTTGATTCTGCCTCTAGACAGTATGATTAACTGCACAGCAGATCTGATTTGAAACACTAGTCAGAAACACTCCCATGTGTTCTATTTTTCCCTATTAAAAACAAATCAGTTTTTATCTTTGTTACCTCAGTATATTTTGTTTCTAGAGTATTTTACAGCTGATTGATCCCTTTTTTAAAAAGATTAACTTTATAGCTACATGAGAAAATGGAAAATTTTCTTGTTTATTGGAGTTAAATGAAGCACTTTCTTAGACTTGTAAGATTATTCATTCTGTTTTTTAAGTATGTATATTTGTCTTAGTAAACTGTGTTTTAAAGTTAACCATCAACTCTAAATGTAAAAATTAAAGCAAAAATGAAATGTTTAGCTTCATCAGCATCAAAATTACCAAGTGCATTGAGTATCTCCTAAGTTCAAGGAACCAGTGCTGAGAGGGCAGAGGAGTACAAGATGCTGCCCCTGTCTTTGAGGGATGTTGCTACTGGACTGCACAGCTAACTCAGCCTTCACCCCACAGGTTATCCTTAACTGCAGAAGGAAGAAGATAAATTTTTCTCTCTACTTACATCTCAATTCATGATTAATTGCCTCAGAATAAGAAGATAATCTTTTTCTACATACAAAAATGGGTGAATCGATAGGATAAGAACAACCAGTTTACAAAATAATGTGTAAGCAGTTAATTACTGCTAAATATCTAAGCAATTAATTAGCCCCCATTATGTCCAAGTGCTTTAGTATCTCCCGAACTTCCTCATGTGGTTTCTATCAACATACATCTGTTTAAGATTAACAAATTGTATCTACTTAAAAGCCATGATGTTTATGTGGATGATGAATATTCTTTCTAATATGTTAAAATGAAGCAGTTTTTTCTCTTCCCTGTCTTACGGTGTAAAGTGCAAGTGATTATACTGTAGAACCTAACTACAACATTTGAAATGCCATCACTAATAATCACCATGGAAACTGGAGATCTCTGATGTGAAACTGCCCGTACCATTTCCAAAAGGGCAAATATAACTGTTGATAGCTACTATTTAAAAAGCCACTTAATACCCCCAACAGAATGATTTTTTTTTCTTTTGGCAATTTTGGCTAGGTATCAGATCCAATCATGTTACCATTTCTGTTTGCCAAGCTAATTGCTATGCATTAAGACAAACAGCTATTCCCCCAAGCTGTCCCTAGTACCTTCGTCATAAGCAGTATTCTATTTGTGTTCTTTCAAGTAGAAAATTAATATGGCCATTGGCCAAGAATTGTACAAGGCTGATAGATCACACAGTGGTGGTGAGAAATGAGGAAAACGTCCGAATGGCTGATGACAGAAATCACTGAAGTCAGAGACTGTTAGCCATTTTGTTTAAACCCATTAAACAGGCACAGAAGAGGGAAGGGAAGAAGATAGATATACAGGGTGAGTAAACCTTAAACCTTAAATATAGAGTGAGTAAATGAGTCCTTGTGGAGATGAGATCATTCTAAATCATGATGCTCAGAATATGATTCTAAAACTACATCTACAATTCCTACCAGTGAAAAAACATCAACATGCTTGTGCCTTATATAAGCCAATATGGTTTCCTAGGACCGAGATTAATGGTCTGGTGCCCCAGAGCCAGTGTTTAATGATATATGGGCAGAAAATAACAGTCGTTTGGTTTCATTAAACTACAAATGGCTTAGATCTACTTATTGGACCCCAGAAACTTCACCTGTATTCCAGGCGGCAACCCTTCTCCCTTAATTTAAGGTGAAGATAGTTTTATTCTTGCATGATAATCTAGGTGAAAAGAAGCATGCATTTGTAACTAGATCTGTCTGGTAATGGACTCATAATCCTTACCAAAATGCCTAGAAAAGCTTTTCC